CATAAATTGTATTATTTAAGGTCTGGGATTTTCTCAGTCATTACAGTAACAACTAGAGATGCTATGGTGCTTAGGGGTATGGCAGTGGATGGAATGTATGAGGTTGAGAAATTACATTTCAATGAGTCTCTTCAACTATTTAATTCGATAGTTTTTAGAGGAAATGCTCCTGATATGGATTATATGGAGCTATCGAAAAATGTGGTTGAGCATGCTGGTGGCCTTCCATTGGCAATTACAGTTTTGGGTAAACAATTTCGTTCCCTCCGTATTCAGAGCCTAAAAAGTTGGGAAATGGCGTTGGAGAAACTAAAAATTCTTCCTCATAATGATATTCACAATGCGTTGAGAATAAGCTATGATGGGCTAGAGAAAGAAGAGAAAGATATCTTTCTAGATATTGCATGTTTCTTCAAAGGGAGGTGTAGACATTTTGTGGAAGAGATACTGAATGGTTGTGATTTTTTCGCAAGTATAGGTGTGGATATTCTCATTGACAAGTCCCTCATAACTATTGATCCTCGTTATAATGGGCTTCAAATGCATGATCTATTGCAAGAAATGGGTAAAAAAATAGTTTGTCAAGAAGCTACAGAACTTGGAGAGCGCAGTAGGCTATGGATTACTAAAGAGGCTTGTCAAGTCCTAGAGAACAATGAAGTAAGTGCCAGTGTATTTCCATAATTCACTTTAGAATTGCATTACTAACTTGTAGATTAAGCGATTACACCAATCCATTGTTTATTGAGATGTCTTCATGTATACAATACTAACTTAGATTGCTTTTAATTTTTTCATGATATATAAGTACATTCATTGTGTGTGTACACATAACAGTACTGAGGTAACTTGCCATATACTCTATATGTGGATACTAAAATGACAGGGGACTGCAAAAGTTGAAGGAATATTCCTAGACTTGTCCAAAATTGATGAAGAGATACACTTGGAACCTACAGTTTTCAGAAAGATGTCTAATTTGAGATTGCTCAAAATTTACAATTCCTCTTCTGTCAAGAAAGGCAAATTGTACCTTCAAGATCTCCAGTATCTTCCTCGTTCACTTAGGTATCTCGAATGGCATGAATATCCTCTAAAATATTTACCATCAAACTTTAAGCCAAAAGGAATATTCCTAGACTTGTCCAAAATTGATGAAGAGATACACTTGGAACCTACAGTTTTCAGAAAGATGTCTAATTTGAGATTGCTCAAAATTTACAATTCCTCTTCTGTCAAGAAAGGCAAATTGTACCTTCAAGATCTCCAGTATCTTCCTCGTTCACTTAGGTACCTCGAATGGCATGAATATCCTCTAAAATATTTACCATCAAACTTTAAGCCAAAGAATCTTGTTGACCTAAAGATGCCCTACAGTCACCTTGAGCAACTTTGGGTTGGAGTCCAGGTATATATCCTACACTGTGGTACTGAACCTAATTTATAATGCATAGTTTAGTTATTATTCTCATTTCCTTATGTTACAGGACCTTGAAAAGTTAACAGACATTGATCTAAGACACTCAATTCACCTAACTCAAATTCCGGATCTGTCACGTGCTCCAAATCTTGCGAGAATAAATCTCCAGTATTGCACAAATTTGTTTCAAGGTCCTTTGCATACTCAGCAAAATCTTAACAAGCTTCAGAGTGTTCCAGATAGAATATTTGATGCTGCCTCTATGACAACTCTTACTCTCAACACTCTTCCAATGACTATAACCCGGAGCGTCGTGTCTTTAAATTTAAGTTCAACTGGAATAACGTCTTTGCCTTCATCAATTGTCTCTCTCAATAATCTTTCGAAATTGTCTCTCAGAAACTGTACAAGACTTGCAAGTCTTCCAAGTTGCATGAATAAGCTGGATTCTCTAAAGGAACTTCGATTAGACGGGTGCTCAATTCTTGAGATGTTTCCAGAGCTTCCATTGAATATAATGAAGTTGGATATTGGAGGGACAGCAATAAAGCATGTGCCCTCATCATCAATTGAGGATCGATTTTATCTCTGGAGTATTAAAATGTCCAATTGTAAAAGTCTTACGAGTTTACCATCCAACATTTTTAAGATGAGGTCACTTCGTAATCTTAATCTTAATGGTTGCGCAAATTTGAAGTGCCTTCCTGAAATCTTAGATCCTATGAAAATTTTAAAATGGCTTTGTTTACGCGGAACGGGGATTAGAGAGCTACCAATATGTGATATGGCTAACCTTTCGGATCTCGATCTTTGTGATTGTGCAAAACTTGAATATTTTCCAATCTCAAGTGATTTCCACCGTTGGAATCTGAAATCTCTTGATCTCAGTCGGTCTAATATAATAGCAATCCCTGCAAGCGTCAGAGGGCTTTCTATGCTGAGAAGGATTTCCGTAAACAATTGCAAGAATCTTCGTTCAATACCAGAGCTTCCATTGGGTTTACGATCTCTTTATGCAAGCAGGTGCCCGTTGTTGGAAGTGGTGTCAAATTCAAAGAGAGCACTCACACAAGAGTTTTGGGATTATGTTCAAAATGAAAAGGACAATGGCTGTCAAGTCTCAATATTTTGTGATTGCTTGAAATTGGATCAGACGCAGCGTCAAAGTATTTTAGTGGAATTCCAGCTTAGAGTTTTTCGGACCGCTACACGATTTAGATGTAAATTCAGCTTACAGGTACGCTTTCTTTGTGTTATGTTTAATCCGAACTAGTTATGCAATTGAAATAGAGCTTGACTCTCTTCTATGGTACAGAGTTTGCCTCGTTGGATTGGTGCGTGTTGTCTGGGTTATGAAATTCCAAAGTGGTTTGAGTATCAATCAGAGGGACCTTTTATTGATATAAAGCTTCCACTGGAAAGGCAGAATTTCAACTTCCTGGGTATTGTATTTTGTGTTGTTGGTTACTCTTATTCCGAATGCAAATACATGGATTTAAGATGTAAAGTCAATCTTAAAGCGAACCAGGGGGAAAACAGAGAATTCACTTCAGTGTTTGATTATATTCAAGAAGTTTGCATGAAGTTTTCAAGTAATGTGTGGATGTGGTATGTGCCTGGTGACTATCATAAATGGCTCAATGCAGTGGAGGCGTCATTTGACTTTTCATTCCATGAATGGGATAGGAGAAAACGTGGACGGTTTAAGACTTCCAAGCATGAAGTGAAGAAATGTGGGATCCACCTGGTATATCAAAAAGAAATAGAGGAATTCAGATTCAATTTCATGAATGCTGGTCAACATCATGTACTTGAGGAATCAGCAGCCGAGCAGCCTGAATCCATTGCACGCGGAACCGTCGACTTTGATACAGATGAACCACATCTCAAGAGAATTAAATTTACAGATTCCTTTGACTGCTGATTATTTGATCTCTTCCTGGAATGCATCATCGGTAATTCCAAAAAAAAAAAAAGTGTGAATATGGATTTTGATTTCTTTCTACTACTCTACTTTGTGAATAATACAGCTTTGTTATATAAGACACTATTTTCTATAATATTTAGTTTTTATGTTCCTTTATTTCAACTTCTTTTTTGTTTGAACTTATTATTTTGCTTTTGTGTGGGTATATCCTTCTTTTAGGTTTCTGGATGTTCGAAAAAGAATACAGAGCATCAATTAAAAAAAAAAAAAAAAAAAAAGAACAGAGCGTAATACAACATAATTTTCTATCCTTTTTTTTTTATTATATATAATTCAGTTCAACAGTTGGGGAGCATTTAGGTGGAGATTAAGGTTACATTTTGTTCCATGATTTCTGTTTTAGAATAAGGCAATCACAGTTTAATGTGAATTCTTTTAGTTTATCTAGTTTAGGCTTTTTCTCTGTTCTTGTACTTAGCTATTGGTTTCTGATCTGTGTGGTTATTGAAAGGTGATATGCTGATTCGGCCATAATATTCCCTCATGACAATGTAGAAGAAGCAGGGCTTAAGGTCTTTTGAAATTCACAAGTTGTTAATCTCTGATGTTCTCTTTCTTGTAGAAAACAATGCTGGCTGTTCCATAATATTGCTGCATCCCTGTTCTCTCTTTTGCAATACATTTTGAAATTCTTTGCATTTCTTTACAGCCATAAATATCAATAGACCTTGCCTTAATGGATGGTGTGAATATATTTCATAAACCAAATTCAAATTGAGGACGACAAATTATAATGTGCTTCGGAGGCAATGCATTTTGAAGAATGTTCTTTTGCAATACATTTTGAAATTCTTATGGCAGTTTAAGTTTATGCGAATAACAGTTCTCTTGTAGCGGTGTTTCTTATGACAGTGTAAGTCTGTCCTCTATTCTCTCTTTGCATTTCCTATTTCCTAGGTGCCTTACTAACGTGAAACAGTTTTTCATATTTCGGACCTGTTATCCGTTGACTTTGAAATCCTACTAGTTGAGTTTCCATAGCTGAATGCCACCCAACATCAGTAAGTGGGTATTAGTGGTCAAAGAGAGTTCATGTAACAAATAACCTTTTAAACGCTTTGAGATTGGTATTTAATCGAGTTCAGTATGATTGTAGGATGAGTAGAAGAGCACTGATCCAACGGCGTAAAGTGTGGTCCATGTTTTGACATAATATTTAGCCAAAATCCTTGCAGTATCAGGTCATCATCCTTTAAGTTCATGTATCGATGGATCTATTTCTTCTACTATTAATTTTATGTAGAATTGGTTGAGATCCAATTTGTCCCTCTTTCATATCCACGATTATCCAACTTATGAACTTTGCTCGTGTTATTTCCATGAAAATGATATATAGAATGTTTTGGCCATGCTTCAATAAGTTTTTGATAAGTCCATTTCTTGATCATGTTTTTATTTGCAGTATAATGAGAAGTGCTTCAGAGTGCTGCATTGTGATATTTTTGAAGAAGAAAGACAAACTCAATTATGGTGTTTCCCAAAGAACGAGTTAAATTGCAAGAGAAAACAGATGGAAGATATCTTTATGGTGTTTCCGAATGTGGTTAGATTTTGTTAACTAACATTAGCATTAATTTTGGGACTTCGAAGTGTTGTTACTTGTTGCTATTTTTGTTAACTAACATTAACATTAGGCAAACTCTTAAAATAGCTCTCGCTTTTCTTTCCTTCTCGGTCGCTGCATTGGCTTTCTCTTGTTCGCCGCTGCTCATTGTGGACTGCTTTGAGAAAAATGCAGGTGGAGATGTTACTGTTGGTTGCTGCTCCACTTCATGTGTCCTTGTTGGTTACTGCTCCACTTCTAGTTAAATCAGTCATATCAGCATTGATTGTCCCGAAAGGAATGAACTGAATCATTTGTGATTGTATATAAATGGTTTGACCAGAAGACTTTGCGTTAATGGATGGTGTGAATATGTTTCATAAATCAAATTCAAATTGAGGACGACAATTATAACGTGCTTCGGAGGTAATGCTCTAAGTTGGGCATTTTGCAGATTTCAGTTGTTGGAGGATTTATCCTTCTCTTTTCTTTGAGCGAGGGCTAGATATTAGTCTATTATACATATTGATATTTGTTAGGCATCCTTAAGTCGAAAAGCTACTTTAGGAGTATGGTTCCAGCATAAAGAAACATAATTGGTATTAAACAATTTCTCATTTCAACAGCTGGCTATTTTCTCAAATAAAGAAATTAATAAGTTTGGAAGTTTTTAACGCGGGTGGGTGAAAAAAACCCACCACAATTTATGTTGGAGAGACACAGGTCTTTGAGTGCTTCCATTATATAAACCACTTTACATTCTTATTCACTTTTTATGTGGGACAATACATGTATGCAATTTTTTCAACACCAATGCTTCATTTTTTTTTTGTTTTTTTTTTTGTTTACTAATTGGAAGTCACATTGTAACACCCTGAAAAATTAATTGAGATTAATTAAGGTAATTGAGATTATTAGTGTGCATAATCTGGATTATTAATTGAGATTCATTAATAAATGTTTCTGACACGTGTGAGTTTAAATAGTTCCAAGGTATTTAAATTATTCTTAGTAATTTATTTTAACCTAGAAGTGTGTATGGGCGCATTTCTGGACTGTTCTTTTAAAATATTGACACATGTCATTTTCTTTTCTTTTTCTTTTTCTTTTCTTTTCCTTTTTCCTTTTTCCTTTTTCCTTTCCTTTCTCTTTCCTTTCCCGTGCACTCTTTCTTTCTCCTTCACTCTCACTCTCCCGCTCACTCTCTCTCTCTCTCTCTCTCTCTCATTTGTGTCCCAAATCAAACGGATCTTGAACCAAGGAAAGATTTAAAGAAGTTTTCAACATCAAGAGAAGGATTCGAGGTAAGATTACTGAAAGAACCTCTCTTGAATCTCAAGTTTTTAAATTTCAAAACCTACTTTTGGTTCAAACCGGATTTTGATGATTTTTGAGTAAAAACTAGAGTAGAAATTGGAGATCTTGGGTTCTTTGGACTTGTTTTAGGACCTAGAACCCAGATCTAGTGGTTTCCCTTTGAAATATCTCGATTTGGGACTGGATTTGCAGGTTTTGGACTGATTTCTGTGAGCTTTTCTCGCGCAGCTAATTCCACCGGTCGACCTGTGCGGTCGACCGGATCACATGGAAACCGGTCGACCTATGCGGTTGACCAGATTGCAGGTTGGCCGGTCGACCTGTCCGGTCGACCGGTGTGCACACTACCGGTCGACCGGTAGTGTCACACTGCTCTGTCACCGGTCGACCGGTTGTGTGACGACCCTAACTTTTGATCGTCATCCTATACTCATATTTAGCATTACTTAACCTCTAACACTTACTAATTATAACTTGTTAAAAATTCAGGCCAATTTTTTTCATTCTTACCATGTACGTCTAAATGATGTAGCATTTAACTAGTCTTCTATTTTCAACTATTCGTAAAATGCTGTAGCATTCTAACAGCATTCTGTACATTAGTCATTGTCAAAATGCTGTAGCATTCTGACAACATTCTGTTATATTAGTCATCAAAATACATAAAACACTATTTTATTTTACATATAAAGTTCAGCAGCGTTTCCAAAACACATGATGCGTCCACAACTCATTTGCCCACATTCCGCTGCTACACCTTCTCTGCATGCCCAGCATCAAGTTTTAGGGAGCCGGTGCCTTACCCGTGCTTCCTATAACACGAACAAACTTAATGAGCTTTTGCTCAGCAAGTATCAATAAGTCATAACAGATGCAATAATTATGCATACCCATATATGCATTCATATCATATAGCCTAGTACAAAATTCTAAACGACTTTCATTCTGTATTTCTCATTCTTTTCATTCTTGTTTACGGATACCATATCGTTATATGGAATGGTTTCCATGTTTCATTTTCTTGTCTTTTACTTCTTAGGGGCCCTGTCCTGTTGTACCATAGCGCGCATAACCAGTGAGGAGTGGGGTAGCTAACCAATCCAACTCAGTCACGGTTTCATATCTTTCATAGTCTCATAATAACCTTTCCTTCGAAGGCTGGTACAAATAGGACGTTTAGTCTCTTACCGTTTATCAATTTTCTCATTGAAACGGTAACTTTAGTTAAATCTTATGAATTTGTGCATTATTGAGCATCTTATCATGAGATTAACTTTTTGTTAAACTTTAACATTTCACTTTTCTTAGTTTGATCTCGACCTAACATCGATACATATTTTTGTAGAATAAAGTTCTACGATTACATAAGTCTTGTAGATACTTACCTAACATAGTATCTAGCATTCACATTGTATCTATCATTCAAAATTCTACTATATGCACAATCTTTGTGCAACATAGAAAAGCAAGCTTGTTCGTGTCATAGCCATAGAAAAACTATTGTACTTACCAAAGTTTCGCTAACAACGCGTCCTTTGTCTCCCTCGACGCTTTCCAACTACAACCGTTAGTCGGCCCTATTGCATAAATTTTTCGATCGTTAGATTCAGAATCTATGATCAACAATTACATTGAAATTTACTTCGGAAAAGTGTACAATCCTTATGTTTGGTATTCAACCTCAAATCATTTCCTATCTCAAGGATTTGCACTAAAATCGTGCAAATGACTCAGTCATGGGCCTAATTTTCAATTTTGGTCCAAAACTGTGAATTCTCGTTGTGTTCGGTTTCTAACCATCACCGATTATCGAAACATCTTTCTTTTCACACTTTAATCC